GAGTTAAAGGACTATAGAAATGAGAAGAAGGACTAGGAGTTAAAGGACTATAAAGTTTTAATCCAGCTACAAATTTCTTTCATATTTATACGGAATATTATTTAGCGTTTTTTATTAAAGGGACTGTCAACGTAATTAACTGAGACCCCCATTCCATGTTTTTTATTAAAGGGACTGTCAACGTAATTAACTGAGACCCCCCATTCCATGTTTTTTATTAAAGGGACTGTCAACGTAATTAACTGAGACCACCATTCCATTGTTTTTTATTAAAGGGACTGTCAACGTAATTAACTGAGACCCCCATTCCATGTGGGACATACGGACATCAAAACATTACTCTTTAAACTTTCGTCTGAGTAAGAACAGTGAAGATATTTTTGTTTTCCTTGCATTGGTTTTCTGTCAGACAATTACTTGTGGATTCATGCAGCTCAGACAGAGATGAATGTTGTCAGATTTAAAAATTGCATGATAAAACTCTTAAAATGAAAGGCCGCTTTAAAGAAATTACATTAACAGAGTTTTTCATCTTGTTTATTTTTAAATGGCTGTTTCTTTGTAATTAAAAAAATGCTTTTTATTGTTTCAATTGGTTTTCTGGAAACAAAAGTTTTGTAATTTGAAAATCTACAAATTTTTTATGCCAGGATATCCTGTTTTTTTATTTTTGCTAGGCTAGATCCCATTAAATAAGTCAAAGTGAATAATTGTAGAGCTTATTTCAGCCACACTAACAAGAAGGTGGTTCCCGTTGTGAAAAGAGTGAAAAAATGAAGGAAAATATTGCATTACATATGTACTTGAATATGCATATTTTTTAACATGAACTCTGTGGAAATTTTAATTCTTCAAATCTTTTAACAGATTTCAAACTTTAATACATTGTATACATTATACCAAGGTTGTATAATAAGGTTATAGTTACTCTCGTTGCTCTCTAATGTACGGAAAATGTCGACTCCTAAGATAGATAGATAAAAACTTTTTAACACAACCTTGCATTATACACATAAAGATAAAAGTCATTTGAAAATGATTAAGATTGATTTAAGAAGAATTTATTGCAAAGAATAAATTATCATGTTTTGCAGGTTACACTGATCAAAGATTATTATTTTGTAATTATTTGTTCTCATGATTCCGGAATTAAATTTCTGTAACGCTTGAAGCACGAAACGGAACCTAATCTAGGGAAAAAAGGTAATTTAATACGAACTGAAAGTGTACACTGCAGTGTGCACTTTGCGGTACACTGTGGAATAAATAACTTTAATACATTGTATACATTATACCAAGGTTGTATAATAAGGTTATAGTTACTCTCGTTGCTCTCTAATGTACGGAAAATGTCGACTCCTAAGATAGATAGATAAAAACTTTATAACACAACCTTACATTATACACATAAAGATAAAAGTCATTTGAAAATGATTAAGATTGATTTGACATCCATTTATTCTCAGAATACTGCGTAGAATTTATTGCAAAGAAAAAATTATCATGTTTTGCAGGTTACACTGATCAAAGATTATTATTTTGTAATTATTTGTTCTCATGATTCCGGAATTAAATTTCTGTAACGCTTGAAGCACGAAACGGAACCTAATCTAGGGAAAAAAGGTAATTTAATACGAACTGAAAGTGTACACTGCAGTGTGCACTTTGCGGTACACTGTGGAATAAATGTGAGAGGAAAGAATGGTACACCCTGTATGAGAGGAAAGAATGGTACACCCTGTATGAGAGGAAAGAATGGAACACCCTGAATAAGAGGAAAGAATGGTACACCCTGTATGAGAGGAAAGAATGGTACACCCTGTATGAGAGGAAAGAATGGTACACCCTGAATAAGAGGAAAGAATGGGACATCCTGAATAAGAGGAAAGAATGGGACACCCTGTATGAGAGGAAAGAATGGGACACCCTGTATGAGAGGAAAGAATGGGACACCCTGTATGAGAGGAGAGAATGGGACACCCTGTAGGAAATGAATAGATTGGAATCAAGTTCTCTTTAGAAATAATGAATCTGGGTTCCAACCAGAGAAAAGAGAATAATATTGTCTAGTTCCAATATTTTATCAATGTTTTCTTTTACTTCTTTTCCACAATATTTTCTTTTGTAATAATAATAATAATAATAATCATAGTTTAAAATAAATGATATGATTTTTTCACAAATTACATCTGGACCTTAAAGATTTCTTCTGCTTTTCTGCTAATTTTTTTCATGAAGATGTCTGTTTTAAAAAGTCGCAAATAAAATCTGCAAGATAAAAGTGCTCGACAAAAGAAACATCACATCATTGGCAAAAGCGCCCTTAAGTTTAGAGTACATTTTTATGTACATCCTAACGAAAACAAGAAAGAAATTGATTGTGAATATTATTTAAAAAGTTCTTCACTTCAGAAAGTTCACTACTCCGGCACGCTGCAATGTACCAACTAAAGGAACTAAGGAGACCGTCCCCCCTCCCCCCAGTACAGTACTCGGACCGGTTTCTCATTTAGAAACCAGAGAACCGGTTCAGTTTCAATTGAAATACAAGAATCAAGGTCACTACGGGAGAACTTATTTAACTATTTATGAAAGCTAAATATGAGCAAATACAAGTGTTCTACACTATACAGGGTTTCTCAAATAGCAGGAAATCCATTTAGTCCTTTTACAAACAATGGCTTAATAAAGCTCTAAACCGGTTCCTTTCTCCCAACAGGGTTTCCCAAATAGCAGGAAATCCATTTAGTCCTTTTACAAACAATGGCTTACTAAAGCTCTAAACCGGTTCCTTTCTCCCAACAGGGTTTCTCAAATAGTAGGAAATCCATTTAGTCCTTTTTACAAACAATGGCTTACTAAAGCTCTAAACCGGTTCCATTCTCCCAACAGCTTAGAAATCAGGACTTGCCAGGAAAACATCATCTTTTTTGAGTTCTGATCGACTACCCCTAGATGTGTAATGGAAATCCCAAAATTATCACATTCTTCAATAAAAATGTAGGGGTGGGTTTTTCTGTAAAAATCTTGGGGTCCTCGAGAAGATATTCAGGAATAAAACAGCTGAGCTGTGAACTTTAGGATGGTGGATATCGGGATTAAGGCTTAATCCACTCTTTTTCTTAATCTCCAGATTAACATAATCTTGCAAGATTATCTTAAAAGTGTATGAAAAACGATACAATTCAGATTAATATTTAATCATCTGAGAAACTGTAGCAGCCAATCAGAGAAAAGCGGTCAACCAATGAGAGAACAGAAATATTCTCATTGGAGAAAACAATTAACGGATATCCAAGGTGAGAGAAAAAGAGTGGATTAAGGACTAAAATGAAAAGTTTCCACAGTGGATATTCGGATCAAGAAGTCAGGATTAAAGTTTATCCATTCTAAAGTTTTCAGCTCTGAAGTCTGGTATCTATAGTGGTATTCAGAAACCTATGGAATGTTTTTGTTTCGCTGGAATTCGTAATTTGTAGAACTCATTTTTACATATGTACCCAGAGGCCGATTTTAAAGAATTTGAGCCACGGTTTAAATTTAAGCTGCGGCTCAAATATGATTGGTTCCACTCAAAAATGTATTCAATTTTTTAAGATTTAAGCCGGCGCTCAATTGAAACCGGTTTTTGGAGATTTGAAACGCGGCTTAAATTCATTATATTCGGACACAGGTCCGGGAACAGTTTTTAGACAAATTTCAGCGGTAACAAGAAACAAATTACAAAATCCATATTGAAATAATTCCACTGTTTTCTAGGTACCACTGTACTGTTTCATTTGTATAGAAATCAAGAAAATGTACTAAATCTGGTCGTGCAATTAGTTTAATCTATTGACTTTTTGAACCATTTGGTCGTTTAAACTATAATTGCACGTGGTGGTACCACATGTAGTAGTTCAAACGATAACATTCTGTGCGCATTTGGACAAAAAAATAGTTCAAATGAACAAAATATTTAGTTGCTCTTTTGAACTATCTTTTTGGTACATTTTAAAATATTTTTTTTTGCTCATTTGAGCTATTTTAAACTATTTTCGTTTGAACTATCTTTTTGATAATTTGAACTATTTTTTGGTTCATTTGAACTATTCTTTTGCTCATTTGAAAGCTATGTTTTGGTTAATTTGAACTCAATTGTTTTGCTCATTTGAACTACTTTTTTTCTCATTTGAACTATTATTTTGGTCATTTGAACTATTTTTATGTCATGTGAAATATTGTTTGTGATGATTGTTTGACCATTATTATTTCATGAAATATAAAAATTCTAAATGCATATTTAATAGTTTTAATGAGTAAATAATGTGTTGTTTGAACTACAGGAAATGACGTCATTATCAATAGTTATAATGAACAATAGTTAAAATAATCATTAGTTCAAATGATCGATAGTTCAAATGGCAGTAGTTCAAATGCTGATCCACCAATCTAAGCTCTGCACTTATGTTTGGCCTTGAATCTCGGCCTCGAATCAAGAAAACTGCAATCCAAAGGACACAGCGGTTCTCAGAGAAAACATAAAAATTAAATATTTTAAATAGTGTCAAACTATGCTTTAAAACATTAACATTAAATACTTTATTCAAAAAGACTAAATCAATATTTAACTCACTTATAAATAAAAATAAAAATTCATTTTTATTAAGATCAATGTCAACAAAAAAAAATTAGCTTGCCTAGAAAATATGCATGAAAACCTGTATGAAATAACAATTGTACAGTGTACGAATCCAGTGCTTAGGATCCATTTAATTTTGATGCGAATCCTGAATCCCGGATCCTGGATCAGCACTAAAAAAATAGAACCGGATCCAGGTCATGAACATTAAACATTTAAGATTTTTTAAAACAAAAAAAGACATTTACAATAATGCTTCTTCTTTATTTCGGTTATTTTTATGATGTTATATGAAACCATTCAGAGATAAGGAAATTTTTATAATTCGGATCCAGATCCAGATCCAGAAAGCCAAAATGTTACGAATCCTACGCACTGAACAAAACAATATAAGAAACACTTATATTGGATTATAAATTAAGAATAAAAACCTTAATTCTCTCAACCAAACTGATCACATTCTTGCACTCGCGGGACATAAACTCCTAATAGGAAAATACTATTTAATATTGAAAACTTTTTACAAAAAATGCCTTTCAAAAGGGTTCCACAAAAACAAATTATTCTTGTGTACAACACAACTGTGTTTATGGTTAAAAATTATCGAGTTAAAGTCATCGGACCTACAGGGTTACCCACAAAGGATGAGACTTCAGAGACGACATTACAGAATGTCTGTTTACATATATTCATAACTCCCTGAAACTTTAAACCTCTTTCTTTTTTTGCCAAAACATTTAATAAACCATTTAAAACCTATATTGAAGGTATAACACTTAAGTTAACCCTTGGAGGGTCATATTTAAAGAGTTTTAGGTTGTCTTTTCAGTCTTATTCTTTGTGGGTAACCCTGTATTAAAAATATAATGCTCTCAGAAAAGATTACTGCAGTAAGTATTTTTCGTTAAGAATGTGATTCAATATTTGTTTAGTAAAAATTCATCGATTATGCAAAAATGAGACTTAACGAAATATGAAGTCATGACTATTTTTCCAATGTTACATATGCACTTAATTTAGTCTCAGACGTAAAATATGAAGTCATCACTATCCTTCCAGTGTTAACATATGCACTTCAGTTTGTCTTAGACGTAAAATATGAAGTTATTACTATTCTTCCAATGTTAACATACGCACTTCAGTTAGTCTCAGACGTAAAATATGAAGTCATGACTATTCTTCCAATGTTAACATATGCACTTCAGTTTGTCTCAGAAGTAAATATGAAGTCATGACTATCCTTCCAATGTTAACATATGCACTTCAGTTTGTCTCAGAAGTAAAATATGAAGTCATCACTATCCTTCCAGTGTTAACAAACGCACTTCAGTTTGTCTCAGAAGTAAAATATAAAGTCATGACTATCCTTCCAGTGTTTACAAACGCACTTCTGTTTGTCTCAGAAGTAAAATATAAAGTCATCACTATCCTTCCAGTGTTAACAAACGCACTTCAGTTTGTCTCAGAAGTAAAACTTTGTCCCGATTAAGGTCAATTGTAGTAAACTAAAGTTCGGTTGTTGAAATTTCATTTATATTAAAGGGACTGTAAACAAAACTTCCAAGTGACCCTCCATTGCAAGAATTGTATCCCCGATTCTTAACAGTACAATTAAAGCCATTGTGCCTGGTTTTAAAACTGTTTATTTTCATTCGTGGCTTCTCTGCAGAGTAACTTGCACATATTTAGCTTCAGAAAAAATTGAGAATCTTCAGAAATAAACACTTTTTAACAAAAAACCAGTTTACCACATTATTGATCAGATTAAGGAATTTCGATGGTATCGTTGTGAATGAGGCATGCCCCTTTTGGATACTTGTGACGTCAAAAAAAAATCTACGTTATATTGCAAAACAAACTTCAATGCAAAGGGGTTGGTACAATGATACGTACCATCTGTGGGAATCCTATGTTTATGTACATAAACTGTGTCAGATGACCAAAAAGAACACAGTCCACTGTTGAGATATCATCACCAAGGAAATATTTTTTATCCCCCAGCAGTTCAGATATAGATTTCAAGTCCTGAAATATAGTTCAGATATAGATTTCAAGTCCTGAAATATAGTTCAGATATAGATTTCAAGTCCTGAAATATAGTTCAGATATAGATTTCAAGTCCTGAAATATAGTTTAGATATAGATTTCAAGTCCTGAAATATAGTTCAGATATAGATTTCAAGTTCTTAAATATAGTTCAGATATAGATTTCAAGTCCTGAAATATAGATCAGATATAGATTAGTTCAGATATAGATTTCAAGTCCTGAAATCTAGTTCAGATATAGATTTCAAGTCCTGAAATATAGTTCTGAAATAGATCATGAATTAAGTAGTACGAAATAGACAAGACCTAGATCATTTCTACACTGTCTGAAAAAATACTCATGTTTTTGACCGCCCAGTATATTGCAGTATTTGCTATAATGTACAATACATATTCATTTTTACCAATATCCTTTCTTACAGAAAAACCCATTATAGGAATTTTCCATGAGTATAGTATAGATTACGAGGATAGAACAGGAGAAGTAAATTATATAAATTTAATCGTTTTATGTAATAAAAGTTATTCAAAATTACCTTCTAATATAAAACTCTCGGAGCTTGGGCAATGAGAATTCATTGTTTAACATATTATTAAAATTTACGTTTTTAATTTAGCTATAATATTGAAGTTTAGAATCAACTGTTTGGGTTTGTATGGATTGTAGAGCGGTTTTATATTTTTTTCTAATTTAGTTTAGCTTGCCGTGATAAACTATTTGGTCAGAAATAGAAATTGTGATGCGATAGGTTTCATGGTTCCGTTATACTCTTTGTAGGTGTTAAATATATTCTTAATGGCGACTTTCCAAGCTCCGCGGTTAGAACAGACTTGGGAAGTTGCCGCTTGGGAAATTGCACATTTGGGAAGATACCCCTTGGGAAAAAGCCTCTAGTACCCAACATTATTTTGTACTCTTGACCCAATTGATAGTACATAGTACAGTAAAGTCTAATTCACCGGTTCACTACTTTCTTTAGGGGTGCTTCACACCGGGGCTCTCAAGGTTTTGATGAGTCAAACAGTGGATCATAACTACATATCTTATATCTACATATCAGGTGATCAGTGAAAACAAATAAAAATGAGAAAAATCCTATTTTCTAACTTTTTTACGAAATAAAAATATGTGTGTTTTTTAATAAGAAATTCAGTTTATTAATTTAAAAAAAATTATTTTTTTATCTTGATTCTCCCTTAGTTTTTAGTTTTGATACCTTTTCATTTCATCCATTCTATGTATCTTTATATCTCATGGATATCCGAGACCGAATTTAAAGAATTTGAGCCGCGGCTCAAATTTTGTTGGTTCCACTTAAATTTGTATTAAATTTTTCAAGATTTAAGCCGGCCCTCAATTGAAACCGATTTTAGGGGGAATTTAGACGCGGCTTAAATTCATTAAATTCGGAACTGGTTCGCAAAATTTTATATTTCAAAGTTTTCATCCCATCCATATAATCCATCTTTTTATAAATATATCCGACTTGGTTTGAAAACTCCATATTTTCATCGGTTTCATGCCATGCAATGCCATCCCATCCCACTCCAATATCTGTATGGTTTTCATTGCTACCATCCTATTGTTTATAAATATATCCTACTAAGTTTGCAAACTCCCATATCTGTATGGTTTTCATGGCTACCATCCTATTGTTTATAAATATATCCTACTTGGTTGGCAAACTCCCATATTTCATGGTTTTCATGTCTTCCCATTCCATTAATCCAACTCCTAAGCTTGGTGAGGTAGGGTTGAACATATCCCCAGTTCCTAAAAATAATGTTCTTAATAAATAAATTCAATTTACATTAATTTCATTTTTTATTTTAATTTTATTTATTAAGTTGTTTAATTAAATGGACTGTTGTGTGACGGTAAGATATCATACAAGGATCTTTCATCTATTAAAAAAAAATCAAGATAATGGTTTCCTGAAACAAAATAATAATAATCTTAAAGGAAATCATTGATCAGTTTGGGCCTTCGAGACATCTTTGAGTGGGAAGATTTGTTTAGTTGTAAAAGTAATTCTAAAAATTTTTTTTAGTTATTTTAAAGGAACTGTAGACAAAACTTCAAGTGGCCCTTCATTTGTACAGTGGCGTGTATGGAGGGCAACTTAAAATTACACTTACAGTCCCTTTAAGATGAAAATCATGTAAAACCAATGATGGTTTCTATTTTTGAAGACAACTCGTTATCCTTCGTAAAATAT